CCTGAGTCTCTTGATTCCAGCTCGTGTGATTTGCTGGCAGTCATAGAGTTCTATACGCTCGAGGCTGTGACAACTCTTCAAGTGCTCCAGAGATGCATCTGTGATTAGGGGGCAGTTGTCCAGCTCAATCACTTCCAGCTGGTCATGGGCACAGGCCCCATTTCCCAGGTGACGAATTCCATCATCTGTGATCAGCTCACAGTGAGAAAGACTCAATACTTGAAGACGTGGACAGTGTATAGAAAGTTGGATTAATGTGCTGTCTGTTATCTGAACACATTCTTCCAAATCCATCTTTTCAAGTTCATGGCAATTCCTGGCCAGAGTGGTAAAGCCCACATCTGTTAATTGAGAACATCTCGCCACCTCCAATATTCTAAGCCGTGGACAGTTCTGACCTAGAGCATTCAGGATGGCATCTGTGATGTTGGAGCAGCCTGAGGCACAGAGGGACTGCAACTTATGGCACCCTCTGCATATAGTAATGAGACCTTCATCTGTGATTTGCAAGCAAGTCTGTAAATTCAAAGTCACAAGTTCAGGACAGTGTGCACCTATGTACTTAAGTGCTTCATCTTCTAGCTGTGTACAACCTTTTAAGAATAGGGCCTTGAGACCTCCACAGCCTTTCACTAGGGCTTGGATGCCATCCTTGGTTACCTGGTCACACCAGGAAATGTTCAGTTGCTCCAACAGTGGACAGCCCTCACTCAGAGCTTTTAGAGACATGTTCGTTATTGATGTGCAGGAAGCTAAGTCAAGGTGTCTGAGTTTGGAACAGAACTTGCTAAGGCTAGTACAAGTAGCATCAGTGGTCTTCGTACACCCATTAAGATTCAGCACTTCAATGTTCCTACAGTTTTGTGCAAAAGTCCTTAACGCATTGTCTCCTACTCCAAGACACCCACGCAGACTCAATTTTCGTAAAAAGCCCCCACATCTTTTTGAAATATTCTCTACGACTCTGCCCTCAATATCCCTCTGGAAATCAAACAGGTCAATTCGCTGCCAGTTGCTGCCATCCAGGGCCAGAACATTCCAAGCCCTGGAGACCTGAGCACTGTGACACAAGGTAACGACATCCAGAAAAGAGAATATTCGTAATAGAAGTTCTTTGGGAAGTTTTTTATTGATTACAGCTTCATCACTATTTGAGAACATCGTAAAATGTTGTCCACTGAGGGAGAAGACAAAGAGGTGGTCAGGACAGAAAGCAGAAAGGTAGGGTCTGACATCTGGGAGAACTGCAGATGGTTCCTCTTTCTGTACCTACTAAACTGTAGAGTCACACCTTCTTCAGGGTCCGCTCACTAAATAATCTCATTCATCTCAGGACTTTTAAAACCAGCTACATGTTGCTTAGGGAGCTCTGGTGATGTAGTCCATAGGGAGTTGTTGCATTGCCAGTCTATCATCTCTTTCCACACATGTGTTGTTGTGAGACTCATAGTGACTGACCCATTGAACAATAGATTTGAACCCTCTCCTCTTTATTTCTGACAAACTAGAGCTCATTTCAGCAATCACTGTGTCAATCTATATTGAGGTTTCTCCTCTCTTTTGCTGACTCTCCACCTTTCCAAGCACGATGTCCCTTTCCAAGGAATAGCTTTCCCTACAACATGCTCAAAGTATGTGAGACGGAACTTTGTCGTCTTTGTCTCCAAGGAGCATGCTAGCTATATTTTCTCCAAGATACATGTTTGTTCTTTTGACAGTCCATGGAATACTCAATACCCCAACAATACAATTCAAAATAATTAATAATTCTTCTGTCATTCTTATTCATTCTCCAGCTCTCAGATGTATAGCAAGTGATTGAAAAGACCATAGCCTGAATCAGGGGCCACCTTAGTCTTCAAACTGACATTGCTGAAGATCATCCAAAGATGGTTAGAACAGTACATTGGCAGAGAAGTGCCAGAAGCTCAAGCTGGGTTAAAAAGAGGTCATGTCACCAGGGATATCATTGCTGATGTCAGATCAATCCTGATTAAATGTAAAAAAAAAAAGAATAATATTTATTGGTGTTTTATTGATTATGCAAAGACATATTTGACTGTGTGGATCATAACAAATTATAGCTAACATTGAAAAGAACTGGAATCTCAGAACACTTAATTGTGCTCTTGTGAAACCTATATCTAGGTCAAGAGGCTGTTGTCCAAATAGAGTAGGGGAACATCATATGGTTTAAAATCAGGAATCAAGAAAAGTGTGCATCAGGGTTATATCCTCTCTCCGTAGCTATTCAATCTGATTGCTGAGCAAATAATTTGAGAAGCTGGATTCTGTGAAGAAGAATGTAGCATCAAGATCTAAGGAAGAAGGGAGCTTTGTGTCCGAGTGGCAAGAAGCTGCACTGCAATCACAAAGGCGAGCGGTTCAAATCCACCAGATACTCTACTGGAGAAGGAGGGCAATCTCCTCATGTACCAGTCAGATCCAATTCAATGGAACACAACAAGGAAAAAAAATTTGAGGAAGATTCATGAACAACCTATATTATGCAGATAACACAACCTTGCTTACTGAAAATGAAGAGGACTTAAAATGCTTATTGCAGAAGATCAAAGATTACAGCCTTCAGTATGGATTACATATCATTTTATCATACAGATTTAATCCTATTCTTGTGTATTCCAACAGGTAAGGTCCATGTGTATAATGGACATTTATGTTTTTTAAAAAATATATTTTCAATGAATAAATCATTGCTAGTACAAAATTTTGTCATGTGATTTTCAGCCTCATTCCTGTTACCAAGGTCCTATTTTCCAGTCCTTCTTTGCTTACCTCTTTGTATTCCACTCACCAATGATTATTAATGCATCTTTATTGTATGGCAAATAAATTTCAGATGGAAAAAGTCAGTGGAAATGCTCAATTTCTTCACCATTGACTTTAGTGGTTGGCACTTTCATTTGAATAGTAGTTGTCTTAACAGGTCTTCAGTGTATGTGTGCAGATGTCATCTTATCATTGACCATGCTATACTTCAGGATAGATCTTGAAGTGTTCATTCTGACAGTGAGTGCAACACCATTTCTTTTCAATTTGTCATTCCTGGCATAATAGATTTTATGATTATCTGATTCATAATGGTCGTTGCCAATCCAGAGTATTAGACAATTAAAAAAAAAGTGCCAAGACTTGGAGTTTGAAAACCAAAAGGAAAGAATATGATTGACATTTCTCAAATGGAAAGAACTGAACTGGCTGGCCCAGAACCATTTCAAGAAGTATGATCAAGAACCAATCGTAATGAAGAATGAAAATTCCAACTGAGATAATTCAGCAAAGAGATGCAGCCCTAGGTATGCTCACATGTTTATTCCAAGAACTTTAAGATCGCTACCTGGCCAATTGACTATAAGAGATCCATATTTGTTCCCATTCAAAAAAAATAGTGATCCAACAAAGAACATAAATTACTAAGCAATATCTTCAATATCATATGCAAGAAAAATGTTGCTGAAGATTATTTCATAATGGTGAGAACAGGACATCAAGTCAGAAACCATCAGAAATTCAAGCTCGATGGAAAAGAGGTTGTTGCATGAGGAATATCCTTGCTAATGTCAGATGGATCTTGGCTAAAAGCAGAAAGTGCCAGAGAGGTGTTTACTTGTGTTTCATTAATTATGCAAAGACACTTGACTGTATAGATCATAATAAACTATGAATAACATTGATAACAAAGGGAATGACAGAATATTTAATTTTGCTCCTATGAAACCTGTACATAGTTCAAGGAGTAGTTAAAACACAGCAAAGGAACACTGTATGGTTTAAAAATCAAGAATGATGTGTATTAGTGCTGTATTCTCTCTCTGTACATATTAAATCTGTATGTTGAGTAAATGATGAAAGAGCCTAGACTATATAAGGTGCTCTGGTGGCCTAGTGGCAAGAAGCTGAGCTGCGATACTGAAGGCACACGGTTCGTGGCCACCAGCTGCTCTGTAAGAGAAGGATTCACAATCTCCTATGACTCTGAAAACCCGCCGGAGGATCAGCTATGGATCAGTTCCATGTCTGTGATACACAACAATACAACAACAACAACAAGACTATATGAAGAACCACATGCCATCAGAATTGGAGGAAGACTCATCAACAATCTACGTTATGCAGGTGACACAACCTTGTCAGTGATTATGAGATGGCTCAGGGTTTGGCACGAATCTGAAGTGTTGTTCATAGGGTTTCTAGGAGTACAGTTGACAACTTGACAACACATAAAAACAACAGAAATTAAGATTAGAGCTATGTATAACAGATTTATTGCTCAAAATAGCTTCTCTATTAACTTACTTTGCCGTGTGGGAATATGAAAATGGGTTATGTTAGCCTATCCATAAAAGGATGGGCTCGTCTTATTAGGTTGAGTGGATTCGGCAGCAGAACTAGAGGACCTTCCCCATCAGCAAAAGCAGCAGCAAGAGAATTAGTATGTCCTTCAGAGCCAGAGATTCTTATGACAGCCAGACCAGGGCCTATGGGAGTAGCAGCCACAGTAGCCACAGAAGCAGAGATCTGACACGAGACTGAGCAGATTTTGGGACTACAACACCACGGAATCAGAGGGAAAAGTCCAAGTTTGTCGGACAACTGGGGGTGGGGGACCATAATTGGCAGGACTAACAGCTTTGTAGCACTGGCCTAAAGCTGCAAGGCTCAAGACTGAGTTGCCTGTGGGCACATTTTGGAAGCTGTCCTAACTGCATTTTCCTACTAACCTGGATTATAACCTTTTGACTTCCTCAGTAGGGTTCTGCGTGGTCTGTGAGGCATTGCATCAGATTTTGAACCCAGTAAACCAGTAAGATTGGTGCTGGGATAAGTGGAAAGAGGTGCAGGGGTATGAGGGACATATCTGACCTCACGGGAATTAGTTTTGTGTTGTTGATGTTTTTGACAGAGTTAGTTGCTCTTTACGAAGTTGGTAAAGGTCATATATCACTGTTCCCATGTGGTCCTTGTTCTTTTTACAGAGATGCACTATATATGCTTATTGAATGAACTGATGTTTAAAGATGACAGTGCCTGGGCACAAAAGGTGGTTAGATGGAGCTTCTTCACTCGTTTTTTCAGGTAGAATTCACTTTTTTGGTCTCTGTGTGGTTCCAATTTAGAAACAGATACTCCATAATTTCTGGTCTGGAAACTCCCTACAGCTCAATTTATCAAATATTGGTTAAGCATTTGGTGTATAACCCATCTGTTGTTGTTGTTGTTATGTGCCGTCGAGTCACCTGTGACTCATAGTGACTCTATGTACAATAGCCCTAAACCCTGCTCCATCCTTCCTGTGCCAATCTTACTGTCTCTGACACACTCACCTCCATTACCCCAGTCACTGAATCAATCCATCTCATCAAGGATCTTCCTCTCTTGAGCTGTCCCCTCACCCTCCCAAGCATGATGTCCCTCTCCAAGAACTGGTCCCTCCTTGCAAAATGTCCAAAGTATGTCAAATGAAGCTTCAGAATCCTTGCTTCCACAGAACAGCCTAGTCTCACCCTCTCTAAGATGGAGCTGTTTGTTCTCCTAGCAGTCCGTGGTATATTTAATACTCTTCTCCAGCCCCACAGCTCAAAGGCATCAATTCACCTTCTATCATCTATAATCATTGTCCAGCTTTCTGATGCACAGCAAGTAATTGCAAAGACTGTGGCCTGGATCAAGCACACTTTTGTCTCCAGACTGACATTGTTGCTCTTCAGTACTTTGGAGAGGTCTCTGACTGCAGATTTTCCCAATGCAATTCATATTTGTATTTCCTGGCTGCTGGTACCAAAAGTGTTAATTATAGAGCCAAGCAAACTAAAGCTGTTAATAATCTGTCTCTTCATCATCTATCATGATGCTGCCAACTGGCCCAATGATGAGAATCTTTGTTTTCTTGATGTTGATCTTAAATCCATTTTGAAGGCTATAGTCCTGGCCTTCTGCAAAAAGTGTTTCAGATCCTCCTCTGTTTCAGCAAGCAGAGCTGTGTCATCTGCATAATGCAGATTGTTGATGAATCTTCCTCCAATCGTGATGCCACATTTCTTCTCATAGAGTCCAGCCTCCTGATAGTCTCTGTTCTGCAAATAGATTGAAAAGGTATAGAGCTAGGACACATCTCTGGCACTCACCCTTCCCAATTTTGA